GTTTGTATCACTAAAAACAAACAAGCAAAAACCCTATAAATGTAAGAAATAAATTTATTGTATGAGTAGCTAAAAAAAGTACTAATAAGTCCCAGAGTTGGAAAAGGTAATTTATTCTTGATTTGTCAGTTATTGGATAATGTGTTTCAAACCACCATGATATTTATTCTGCCTGCAGTGATTATCACAAAACTTTTGATTCAGTTCTGCACTTACAGCTTATTTATGCACTGCAAAAATAGAAAACAGATGCAAACATAGAGAGAATGCCAGAGTATTTTATATCCACATGGAAAATTCTTTGAAACCCTCTACCAACAGAATAATGCCAAGAACAATTGATACAAAACATGGCATTTTTCATGAAGACAGTTTAAATACACTTTGGTTCTACTAGGCTTACATTCATAATATTCTCTTCAGTGTAAAACCAAAGAGGACTTCAAAATTAATAAGGAATCAAACCAAATATCCTATGCACACATATACATATACACCCATATACACATATGTAAGTTTGTATATCTGTGTACACATATGTTCAAGTTCCATTACTCCACCAAAACCTATATTCAATGGTCCTTCATCTTATGGATTTTTTGTTCTCTAGGGATATCAAAGTATCATTTGAACTTCATAAATCTAAAATTCTTAATGTACAAAAGGAAAAAAAAAAGACTAATGGTTTGAAGCTTGAACCCATAGGTCACATTGAACTGATGAATGAAGATGATGTTAACAAATAACCTGGTCTTCTTTGAGATGGGCATATCCAGCAAAACAAACAAAGAAACAAAAAAAAACCTTCAAAGAGATGACTATGGATAAATATATAAAGAAACTGACAAAATCAAAACCAAAAGAGAATAAGACATGCAAAGCAAATAACACCTTTGTAATATCTTGGCACCTTTATAGGCTACTTTCAGAAATGTAAAATGGACTGTGAGGTATTTTACAATGTTATCACAAAAACAAACAAACAAACAAGAAAATTCCCTGCATACTATTAATAAAACATAGGTCCAGGAGACAAGATAGTGGAATAAGCAGTAAATCACTATAACTCTTCCACGTTTGCCTCCAAACAACCATAAATTAGTGCCCTATAACAAATCCTGGAACACTGGAGCCAGTGGAAAGATAAGGTGGAGTAGTTATTTTAGCCAGAGAGACTTGTAGGATTGGCAAAAAAGGTACATATCACTCAGGTAAAAGAGGAGCACAATCCAGGACATGAAGTATCCCAGCAAGCCAGCAGCAAGCCCCATCTCAGCAAATCAGCAGGAGATATTGTTCCCCAGGGTGGACAAATGCCAACACCAGGGCCCACCTCAAGCCTGAGCACAGCCAGGAGAACCAGCAGACTCCAGCTCTGAGAACCACCATGTGCTTCAGTGTAGTGCTGGGTGGGCAGGCATTCTCCAGGAGCCAGACCTCCACATACTTCAGTGTAGCCCTGGAGAAATGCAGAAAAAATCCCATCTGGCCTCAGCACATGCCATACACCACCAGCTCAGCACCAGGTAAACTGCCAGACCCCTAGAGCCTCCAGCTGCCAGCATCTGAGGCTCCAGCACACAAAGACAGTGACCAGGCCCCTGGACCACAACACAAGAAGCTTGGGACAGTGCCCCACATGCCTCAGGAGCAGAGCTCAACTTTTTCTTATTAATTTATTTTGATTTATCAACAATCACTTCCATAAGCTTTGAGTTTTAATTTTTTCTCTCCCTACCTCCCTCCCCAAGACAGCATGCAATCTGATATAGGCTATACGTACACATTCCTATTAAACATATTTTCACATTAGTGATATTGTAAGGAAGAATTAGGAGGAACCACTAGAAAGAAAAAACACAACAAAACAGAAGAAAAAATAGCAAATAGTATGCTTTGATCTGCATTCAAACTCCATAGTTCTTTCTTTGGATATGGATAGCATTTTCCATCATGAGACCTTTGGAGATGTCTTAGATTTTTGTATTGCTGAGAAGGGCTAAGTCTATCAGCATTAGTTATCACACAACATAACTGTTACTGTGTACAATGTTCTCCTGGTTCAGCTCACTTCACTTAGCATCAGTCCATTCAAGTCTTTCCAGGTTTTCCTGAAGTCTACCTGCTCATGATTTCTTGTAGCACAATAGTATTCCATTACATTCATATATTACAACTTGTTCAGTCATTCCCCAATTGATTGGCATTCTCTTAATTTCCAATTCTTTGCCACCACAAAGAGAGCTGCTATAAATATTTTTGTGCATGTGGATCCTTTTCCCATTTGTATGATCTCTTTGGGATACAGCCCTAGATGTGCTATTGCTGGGTCAAAGAGTATGCATATTTTTTATAGACCTTTGGGCATAGTTGCAAATTGCTCTCCAAAATGGTTAGATCATTTCACAACTCCACCAACAATGCACTACTGTTCCAATTTTCCCACATCTTCTCCAACATTTATCATTTTCCTGTTTTGTCATGTTGGCCAATCTGATAGGTGTGATGTACCTCAGAGTTGCTTTAATTTGCGTTTCTCTAATCAATAGCGATTTAGAGCATTTTTTCATATGACTGTGGCTTTAATTTCTTCATCTGAAAACTACCTACTCATATCCTTTGAACATTTACCAATTGGGAAAGAGCTCAACTTTTAAAGCCATGAAATAGGCAAAAAATGAGCAGGAAACAAAAATTAACATTGACCATAGAAAGTTACTATGGTGACAGGGAAGACTAAAACATAAATTCAGAAGAGGACAACATTGTTAATCTCAAGCCCAAAAAAGCCTGCTTTGAAGAGATCAAGAAGGATTTTAAAAGTCAAATAAGAGACACAGAAGAAAAATTGGGAAAAGAAATGAGAGGTAGGCAACAGACAGTTAACAGCTTGGAAAAGGAAGGACAGAAATTGACTGAAGAAAACAATTCCTTAAAAAATACAATTGGTCAAACGAAAAAAAAAACACTGAAGAAACCAACTTAAAACTAGAATTAGCCAAATGGAAAAGGAGATACAAAAGCTAGCTGAAGAAAATAATTTTTTAATAATTAGAATTGGGGAAGTGAAAGATAATTACTCTATGAGACATCAAGAATCAGAAAAAATAGAAAAAATAGAAGAAAATGTAAAATACCTCATTGGAAAAACAACTGACCAGGAAAATAGAGACAGGAGAGATAATTTAAGAATTTTAGACTACCAAAACAGAGGGCCAGTAACTCTGAAGTAGCTATATAGATTGGCATTTCTTCACCAAAAATAACAGAGGGAATTGGTAGACACAGAACACATGATAAATGGATTGGGGCCATACCAGTTATCTTGACTTTTGTCTTGCCACTGGACTCCCATGACCCTGGAGGAGAGGGTAAGGCTGATGACCTCACACACCTTTGCCTTACTTAAATCCAATTCACTTGGAGATCAAGACATCACCCTCCTCATGTCCTTGGTTCTCTTCAAGTGAAGGATGAACAACAAAGATAAATGGATTTTTAAAATGACAACAAAAACAGCAGAAGTACTTTTGGAACAGCCAGGTTTTTTTTTTCCCACAGACCTATTATAGCTGATAACAGGTAGATGCCACTGGATGTATCTCATATAACTGAAAGTCATTTGTTTTCAGATGAAAACTCTGAAATGGCTAAGATCAAAGAATGGACTCAAAAGTCTCAGCATAGGTAACTTATATAGACTCAAGCAGTAATTTAATCACAAAGAAGCATCAACAAATGGTTAAGCCTTGCATATTTACCAGCTTAAATGAAGGGGTGTAGCAAGGATATTCAAGACCAGGTCACATTACTTCCACAAAGTAAAGAATGATCATCATTGAAGAGTTCAGATTTAAGCTGAGAGAGTCTAGGAAACTTGATGAGGTTCAGTGAAAAACAAACACACAAATAAAAAACCAAACATTTATTTATTAAATCTCTACTATGTGTCAGGCACTGTGATAAACTGGGAATACAAAGAAAGACAAAAGATAGTGCCTACTCTCAAGGAGCCCACAGTCTACAAGGGGAGAAAATATCCAACCAATTATGTATGATCAAGCTATATACAGGATACACTGGAAATAATCAACCAAGAAAAGACACCAGAATTAAGAAGAATCAAAAGAAGGCATTTTGTAGGGTAGAAGGTGATGTTTTAACCAAACTTGGTTTACTAGCTGCCCAGCTAGAAAGTGCCTTTGTCAGGTTCAGACCCAGATCTTTTTTTTGCTCCAAAGCTAGGACTCATTAGCTGAGGCAGTCTCGAGCTTTTTACATTTTAGAATCTCCAAAGTTTGACTCCATCCTCACTTTCCAGCCCCAGCCCCAAAGCCCTCCCCAATTAACCAAACCTGCCTGAGAGACAGACTCTATGCAGGATTCAGGCTATACCTATTTATACATTCTAGAATCCAAGGTAAGAGAAACTACTACATGCTTCCCGAAATGTCTTGTGCTCTCCTGTCTTGTGACTTATGATTAGATTCTCCTTTGTTACCTTGTTGAAATCTGTTCTTTCAAGGCACATTAGTACCTTGGCACTCATCAGCTCCATCCAGCTGTCCCTGATCTTTCCAGTAGAAAAGTCTTTCTTCAAATTTTGCTAGATCATCTTTTTTTTTTAATCTCCTTTTTTGTCCCTATCAAACTGTAATTGGTATCTTAACTTTTTGTGAACCTTCCTAGATTATAAGCTCTTGAGGGCACGGCTTTGGGTGTTGGTCATCGTTGTATCTTCAGGGCCAGACATAGTACTTAGTACAAAGTAGTGCTTAATAAATCTTTATTGAATTGATTTGAATATGTTCCTCAAGGTAGGAAGAAAGATTATGGCAGTGTTGAGAGAGCGGAAACCCAAAATTGCACCGTGTGTCTAAACATCAGCACACACTACTGTTTTGGGAAAGGGATCCAGGCGGGATGGGTTGCCCTTCCTTTCCCTCCTGGGCTCCCTGTACTTCTTCCCGTGTGTGCCTGCGTGAGGGAAAAAGGGAGTGCGTGTGCAAGAGTGGTGTGTCGGGCAGGCAGGCGCAGGCGCGCTGTTCGCCAGTCTGCAGCCCGGGCGCTCTCAGTGCAGTTTCTCTGGGAGTTGATGGCAGCACCACAGTGCGGCCGCCTGGCAGAGAGCGAAGCAGCAGAGACCCGCTGTTCAGGAAGAGCCAAACATGTTGGTGGAGCAGGGGGGCTGCGGCTCCGGAGCCAGAGACCGGGGCACACACCTTCCATTCGGCCAACTGTCCTGACCTGCCTCCCCTGCCCACCAGCCCCAGCCCTCAAAGTATGTCAGCCAAGTCTAAGGGGACCACCTCCTCCTCCTCTCCAACCGAGGGGCCACCGGCAGCCTCCAAAACCAAGGTGAAGGAGCAGATCAAGATCATCGTAGAGGATTTGGAATTAGTCCTGGGGGATCTGAAGGACGTGGCCAAGGAACTTAAAGAG